AGTATATATCGATCTAGCTTTTTTATAAAACTATTTATACTATTTTTATTTATAAATCTTAAAAGAATTACCCCACCTAAAATAATATAACCTTGTTAATTATATATAAGACCGGTCGACTATTTAAATAAAAAATATTAATAACGATTTCCTAATTAAAATTAAGCTTATTACGTAATTTAAATTTAAATTTACGTAAATTTTACGTATTTATTTAGTATTAGTAATATACTTTCGTTAATTATTCTAGCGCCCCTATTTTGATATTATTATTACCTAATTACTTTAGGAGGTTATATAGCCTCGTAATTAATAAGTACCTAATTACTTTAAGAGGTTATATAGCCTCGTAATTAATAAGTACCCAAATCTCTAATATAATTATTTAAGCTTATTTTTTATTAAATAATTAATTAACTTCGTATCGTTAATAAGCTTTATAAACGCGTACCCCTATCGTTGTTTAACTATTTTAAAGTACTTATTATTAAAAATTCTATTCTTCGTATTATTAAATATAATACTTAGTTAATCTATATTCTTTAAATATAAAAGAAATAGGGTATTAATAAATAAAATATAAAAAGTTATTATTTTAAAATACGTCTCTATTTTTACTATACTTAAAGTAACGATTTTTTTATTTAGGTTAAAGCTAATTTTTATAATACTTATTATTAATATATTAAGTATTATTAGCATAATTTTTTATAATATTTAGAATTACCCCTTCCCTCTTATTAACTATTATAATACCTTAGTATTTAAGATAATTTTATAAAAATTATTTAGGTCGTATTTTTTACTTATATAAAATACTTATACGAGCTTAGTATTTAAATAATTTAAATAATATAAAAAGGACCCCTTTAGCTATTCTTAAAATTACTTAGTACTATTTTCCTTTTTTAATATTAATAAAAGTAGTATTTTCTCTTTAAGTATTAAAAAAATAAAATTCTATACTATTAAATTCGTCTTTTTATCTACTTCTATATCCGTTATTTAAAGGACTTTTCTTTACTATTTATAAATAAAAGCTTACTTATTAAGAGCTTCTATTATTTTTTATTTATTTAGCCTCGTATATTTTTTAAAAACTAAGAGTATAAAAAAATAAATAATTAATATTATTAATTTCGTTATAATTTAATTCGTTAATATAAGGGGTAAGATCTTTTTTATTTTCTAAATTTCCTAGGGAGGGTAAATACTTTAGGCCGCTATTTTAGCTACTATTACTAAGTTCCCTACTCCCGGATCTATCCTTATATATAATAAAGAATTAATTAAACTAATAAAAGCTAGTTTTATTATTTATTACTCTTAACTTTTTATATTATTTATATAATTTAGTACGCTCTTTTTTAAAGTAATTACTTAACTAATATCTATCCTTTTTATAAATAAAATATTACTTTTTTTATTACTTTATTTATAAATTAAATTTCTATTTATTTAATAAATCTAAGCCTCTTTATTAATAATTATTATACTTAGTTTCTTTTTTTTTTATTATATATTTAATCGACCTAATATTATTAATAAGGGCCGTTATATATTTAAAAATAGGTTTAGTATAGTATTTTTATTTTAATATTAAAACTAAATCTTAGTTTTAAGTAGAGTATTTTATATTTTTTAAGTACTTAATATAAGGTTATTTTTATTTTTAATACGTACTAAATTATAGTATAAAAATATTTAACTTTTTACTTATTAATCCCCTTATTTAGCTAGGTTTTTATTAACTTATTAATTTAATTAATAAGCTCTTTAAAGATTTTTATTTATAATTTACCCTCTATTATCCTAGCTATAAATATAAAAAAAATTATTTATAACTTAAATAAGAGCTTTAGATTTTTATTATAAGTCTCGAAATAGTTTCGGATTACGTTAATAATACTAAAAAAGTAGTTCTAATTAAAATTACGTACCGCTTTATAATAATAATTAGAGGCTTTATTTATAAATACGATATTAATTACTAAATAATATTAATATTCCCTAATTTTAACTTTTTTATAATAATTATAAAATATTATTAGGGTTTTTTATAAAACCTCGTACTTCCCCTTAGAATATAATTTCTTTTTTAAAAAAATCTTTTTAAAATTTATAAATTACCTCGTATTTACTACTATACTTTTAATATTTATATACGATCCTTATATTATTACGTATTATTAATAACTTCGGGTCGTTTACCTCCTTTTTTATTAATTAATTAATACTAAATTTCGTATTAATAATAATAATAAGCTATAAATTAAAATAAATAAAATTATTAATCGTTATACGTCTAGTATTATATTTTATTTTTATATATCCTTTTATAATAATAGATTATTATTAATAATTATAAAAACGAAATCTAAGTTATTTACCCTTTTTATAAACTTATTAAAATAATTATACGTTTTATTAACTTATACTTAGTTCTATAATACGAATTCCTTTTTTATAATCGTTATTACTAAGATTTTATATAGTTTTTATAATTATAATTACGCTAATAATACCCCTTATTTATAAAAAAGTTTATTAATTACTTTTATAATTCCTAAGCTTACGCTTATAAACTATTTATTTAGTTAGTAATTAAAATTATTTACAATTTTATAAAATAAAAATTACCCCTATAGCCCCTTTTTTTTATAAACCTTAATTAAATAAATTAATATTACGTTAATTTACTTATTATTAAGCTAATTCGCAATCCTATATATTTACGTTTTTTAATAATCTAAGTTAATATTTACTTATTTATAAAAAATTAGGATTTTATTTAAAATCGGGTTTCTTCTTCTTCTTTCTTACCCTAACTTACTAAAAGTCGTACTCTAATTTATATTTATATTAATAATTACTAGCGTATTTAATTTTAATAAGGATATATTTAATTTACGTACTAACTATATTAAATCCGTACTTTTATTACTTAACGAATTTATCAAAGTTTAAGTAATTCCTATTTCCTCTTACTATTTTATTACTACTTTTATTTTTATTATTTTTAGTAATTACTATTACTTTTTTAAATTGCTAGTTATTATACTTATTAAGATCCTTTTTTTATTTAATATAAAAAAGTAGGTTTTAGTAGTTCTCTTTTTAATAATAGTAATAGACGTTTATATTATTATAAAAAAACGAAGTAATTAATCTTAAGATTTTTATTAGTTACTAATTTTTGCTATTCTATATATTTTTAACTTCTACCCCCCTAGGCCTCGTACTTTACGTAATTTCTAAATTACTTCTTTCTTTAACCTACTTTTTCTAGGGTAGTATTTTAAAAAAATAATTAAAAATAAACGCCGGGTAGTTCGTAAAAGAGCTGGATAAGTAGTTAGGAACTAAATAAGCTATTATAAGCTAAATAAGTAGTTAAGTACGGTTAGCGAAGTTAAGCCCTCTTTTTTATAAGATCGTAAGTTTAAAAAACTTATTAAAAATACTTACTTACTACTTATACTAAGTAAAGTTAATTATTTTAAAAATCTTTTTTTTAATTACTTTTTAATACTTTATTTTATATCTCTTAAGTAATCTTTTTTTATAACTTAATTATTATTAAATAATTATTATTTATTAATAATTCTTTTTATTACTTAGTTAGTTTTTTAAAATTAATAATTTCGTACTAAGAGCTAATATAAAAAAAAGCCTTTTAGTAGCTTTTTAAAGGATTTCTTTTTTCCCCCTTAGATCCTCGTTTTTTTAGCCTTTTTTTTAAATTAATAATAACTTTATTAAGAGGTTATAAAACTATTTTAAAATAGCCGCTTTTTTTTTAAGTTAATTTTTAAAATTTATAATATTTTTAGCTTAATATTATTAAAATTTTTAAATCCTCTCCTCTCTTATTAAACTGTCCCTTATATTATATTTTTAAATAATACCCGGGGGGTAGTTAAAAAAATAATAAAAAGGTTATTTAGATTATGAGCTTATAGTTATATTTATAAAACCCTTATAATAATAAACCTTTTTATATACTATAGATCTCTTAGTTTTATAACTCTTATAAAATTATTTTTATTACTAAATAAAAATATTTACGTTTAAAAATCCTTTTTTTTAATTACGTAGTACTCTTTTATACTATATTATTAAGCTCGTTTATTACGCTAATTAATTAAGTAAATAGTCGCTATATAAGTATCTTTTTTTACTAATTTAACTAGTTAATTTCTAATTACGGGCTAGCTATAAAAAGGTTATTTAATAAAAAAACTATTTAAAATAATAATAAAAAACTAGTTATTTAAGTAGTTTTATTAATTAATATAGTTTAATATAATAAACGTTAACTTTTTATAAATAATAAAAGGCTACGATTACTTAATTCTATATAATATTTAAAAATCGCTTCTTTTTTTATTTACTTTTATAAAGTTAATTAGTATAAATCTCCTATTTTATATAATATTAAGAGGTCGTTTTTTTATATAACGAGATACCTTACTAATTTATAATAATAGAATTTAATTACTAATTAGTATTAATATTCTTATTATAAAGTAATTAGTTTAAATTATAAATTAATAAAGAGATTAATTAAATTATATAAATTTATATATAAGTATAAAAAGGAGGTTTTAATTATAAGTTAGGCTAGCTATAATAATCGTAAATAGGGCCCTTAATTAGCCCCTGCGTAGTTAGCCGTATGCTGCGGTCGAATTAGACTTCTAATCCGACACAAAGATCTTGCTAACTAAACCAGAAATCTGTCAGGGGTTTTGCAGAACCTTTCCCTCCTTGCGTCGTCACTCGAACAAGAGACCTCTATTTCGGCATTCAAGGCACATCATCTCCACGCTTGTCGGCAAACTCCACTCGCTGTCGGAAAACGTCTCGACAAGCCGTTGTCCGGATTCAACGAGGGAAGTAGATGGGAAGCAGTATACCACAGCCTGAAATGGCCTTTCTCCGCTGATGACACTAAGAGCCTGCTTGCACAAATTGAAGGTCATCGAAGCACTAATTCTCTGGCCCTGTCTACAGACACTCTCGAGAGTATGTTGAAGTGTTTGGAAAAGCAAGACAGCATCATTGAAAGCATCAGTTGATTGAATCAGAAAGTGGAGCGCCTAACTGCCATTCAGATCAGGATCGAGTATGATGAAAAGCGTCAAAAGATAATCGACTATTTCATGAGGGTCAAACCTCAGGTCAACTTACAAACGTCGAGTCGATTACGCCAACCCCTGACTGGACTATGGCTCACAGAGAGTAATTCTACGTTTTTTAAGTGGGCTGACCTCCCACGCTCCGGTCTCTGGTTGAGTAGGATCCCCGGAGCTGGGAAGACGATTCTATCCAGCATGGTCATTGAGAAAACCCTACAAAAAAGCAGTCAATCGGTCGCCGTAGCATTCTTCTATTGTGATTACAAAAACATTGACAGCCAGAAGCTTCTCAACGTCTTAAGCACAATAGCCGTCCAATTAGGCCAGCAGAACCACGAGGCTTTCGGCATTCTTGAGGAATACCACGCGGGGTTGAAATCGGCAAGTGGTCTTAATGCAGAACCTGGGCCAAAAGATTTGCTTGATCCGATATTGACCATCATCTCGGTGTACGCAAAGGTCTTCATTGTCTTGGACGGGCTTGACGAATGTGGAGACAACGTGGCGGAAGTAGCTGAAGCTATCAAATTCCTTTTTGAGGCATCGTTTTCCGCCAGCATTGCAGTGTTCAGCCGAGACGAGCCGGTAATTCAAGACGAGTTCGCAGCTGAGTTCGCTCATATCGAGATTGCGGCTCATACAGAAGACCTCGATATCTACATCCGTGCCGAGATGGCCCACAGAAGACAACCGCACAATCTCAGCATCCAGAATCCGCTATTTGCCGAAGAGATCCGGCACCAGCTTGTCAACGGAGCACAAGGAATGTGAGCTCAATTCCACTCTCTCACCAATTTGCGATACTTAATGGTTCCAGGTTCCGATGGGCATCATGCCAGCTAGACTATCTCTGTGATCCGAGTACCAACCGTGCCCGGCGGGAAGCTCTGACAAAGAAGCCCCTTGATGGCCGCTTGTACTTTTGGGAGGTTGGAAGCTGTCAAGATGCTTCTTCGCAGCGGCGCGGCGGTGGCCTATACTAATGAGAAAGGGACACGTCGGAACGCCTTCACAGTTGCGGCACCTCATCCTCTCATCCAAGCATGGCTTCTTGTTGGTAGATTTCAGGATCAACAAAGATTGTGTGCTGATTCAATTTGGAAGTGCTGCGACCCAGAAGTCGGGTATTGAAGTGAAGGCTTCAAAGTTGAGTGGAAGCTAGTAGGCACGAACAAGCGGCTCAGAGGCGAGTCTATGCTTGACCCATTCAACAAACGTCACCGCCTCAAAAGATGGGCCAATGGCCGGGTATTGGTTCGGTGAGTCACACCAGGATTCCACTGAGAAGGTTTCCACGGCGATGATGATATGTCATGATATTGATTCTCCGTTGTCATATCCTACCTTATGTCATGACTATCTGCCTTTTGGGTATTCGTTTTTTAGACATGGATTGGTGCCACGCCTGGCGTTGTTATCAACTCTTGATTAGCGCGGTGTTAGCCACTAATCAGGAGTTGATACTAACGTCATCGCAAGCAGCATACACTACTGACTTAAATCGAGTGTCACAATTCATGCCATGTTAGTAGTGTTCCGAGAAAGGTCTCGGCCCAGAACGTCCTCCCTATGCGATTACGTTCGCTCATTGAGCAAACCGAGAGTCCGTTGCAAGGGTGACCCTTCATTCCTGTCGAAGTCAGAGGATTTGAATACAGTAACAGGCTCGTTGCACTCACGTCCCGAAGCAGAACGATTCATGATGTCAATCATTTCATCAAATCGCCATCTTGTCGTAATTTCTGGCAACACCACGGCCTTCTGATGATACAATGCAACTTTCCAGGCGATCCGAGCAACGCTAATGTGTGTTGGTAATATGACGTGACGAGAGAAACCCAGTTGACATGACCTGAAGACGCTGGCACCCTCCCACCGGCCTCATGATGCGTGGGCATCGTAAGTCCCGTTCAAAGCTCAATCAGTGTATGTCCCTATGCCGAGACATGAGGCATCGAATTCGCCTTCTTTGCCGAAAGTACTTACCGAGCCTCCAGATCCATCGATGAGGATGACCTACCTACTGATTTCAGATATAAATCCAGGCCTTCAAGGCTAACCACCATCAATATGAAAGTCAGAACGGCACCGCATACATAACTCGAATAACAGCACACTCTAGCCATTTTTTCTTTGCACCTACATATGTTACACGAGATCTAACCACCGCTATCATCAATATATCAGAAGATGAAGACTCAGATTACTATCTTGACTTTGACTGCCACCGCACTCTGTAGTCCAATTCTCCTAATCCACCGCGCCCAGGTCGATACCACAGTTCAACTCCAGAGCCGCCAGACCGGAACAATAGCAAAAGAATACACGCAAGGAGGCTGCCGTGATGTCATCTTTATCTTCGCCCGGGGTTCTACGGAAGTCGGAAACATGGTAAGTCCCCGCCGCGCTTCGGAGTCCCGTGTCCGGATAAGCCTAGACCGTATTCGCGATGTGCATGAGGGGGAAACGCATATACACATCAGATGACTGACGTCAAATCTTCCAGGGGTCGACCGTTGGACCTCCGACTTCAGACGGTCTGAAGAAAAAGTACGGCGAAAACAAAGTGGCGACAGAAGGAGTTGATTACGCCGCTGGTCTCACGACCAACTTCCTCCCCGGAGGAGCTGATCCCGTCGGCGTTGATGAGATGAAGCGGCTTTTGACCGATGCTACCAATAAGTGCGACAAGTCAAAGGTCGTAGCTGGAGGCTATAGGTATGCATATTCCTGCGGGTTAATGCAATATCAACGACTTGAGACTGACAATGGAGTGTTCTATAGTCAAGGAGCTGCCACCGCACATCGCGCGATTGAGAAGCTCCCTGATGCAGTCAAGAGCAAGATCTTGGGGGTCGTCACCTATGGCGACACCCAAAATCAGCAGGACAAGGGCCAGATTCCCAACTTCCCCAAAGACAAACTGAAACTCATTTGCAACGAAGGCGATAAGGTGTGCACTGGCACTCTCGAGATCACGCCTGCTCACCTTGATTATGAACGCCATGTTCCCGAGGCAGTTGACTTTTTGACCGGTAAGATCGGCAATCTTTGATATCTACCACAACTTGCACACTAGATCGTCTTTGACCTAGTACCATTTGACATATGTTTTGATTTAGAGAACATCACGGGGGACCACGCAGCAAGCGAGGATGGTGCTGGGATAGCTGGAATTACTGAATCATGTTTTGATATTGTAGATGGTGTTGACCACAATTAAAGCATCTTGCCATACTCGATCACTTCTCCCGACCCTGATTCTACTACACTACGGCTGAGGCCATCCGAGATTCAAACTCACTGTCAGTATGTTCGATGCTCAAGAGTGACGATAGCGATATCTGGGACGCTCGTCCAGTCTCTCACATGACTGCCTAATGTCACTACATGTATCCGATCTAACAGTACATGCATTACGTATCTGGTCCTGAGCCAGGTCCGTACTACATTATTAAAATTGTCCGAGTAAGCTTGCGATGATTTGTGACAGCAGCTCATCCCCAATTCTTCATCCCGTTCCTTACCCCTGGACTCTAGCAGTCATCATATCTTCTTTTATGATGTCAGCGGCCCTTTCGGCAACCGCATAAACAGTGCTCTGGATGTTACCCAAGGGCTCAATCGGGAAGACACTGGCATCGACAATGCGAAGATTCTTCGCCCCATAGAGCCTTAGTCGCTCGTCAACAACGCCACCATCCTCCTGTGGCATCATAGCACAACTGCCCGAAACATGGAACACTGAAATCTGTCTTTGACGCACAATCTCCTTGGCAGTCTCCAAGTTGTCGCCCATCAACTCGGGCAAGCGTTTCCCTCCAGGCTTGAGTAGCGAGCTGAAAGGTTCAGTGCCTACGATTCGCTCGACAAATTGAACGTTGCGGGCCAGAAGCTCCAGGTCGAGGGGATTTGAGTTGTATTGCGGATCCCATGTTGGCAACGCTTTGAAATCAGGGCTAGTAATGTGGACCGTTCCCCGAGAAAACGGGTGGTTCAACACTGTCATAACAGTGATGTAATTCTCCGGCTTGGAAGGCAAAATGTACTCGGCCATGTTGGCTGGATGATCATTAATCGTGATTTGAGAAGGAAAAAGCAGGTATTCGCTGCTTGGCTCGTCCAATGTCTCGATAAGAGAGCGCACAAGCTTTCCAGTCGGCGAGCTCGCATGCTTTCCATGTGTAGCCAGAAGAGATTTCTTTGCGTCTCCTGACAACAGCCCGTTGTTGTCGGCGAGAGGCGTGTAAGCAGCGCTAATTGTGCTCTGGCCCAGTGGGCCCTCACGCGTGGCCATATACTGGCCGACAACAGCGTTGAGGATGTTTCCGTCTCGGAGAACATCCGCTGACGGCACTCCTTCATTGACCTCAAAGCTTTGGCAGACAATCGGGTGATCCTGCAAGTTCTCTCCAACATTGGAATTATCAATCACCACAGGAATGCCGTGGCTCTCGAGCAAGTCTCTCCCACCAACGCCAGACAGCTCCAATAGCTGAGGTGTTTGGAGAGTTCCTGCAGCAAGGATCACTTCCCCTTTCGCCTCGATTATCTTCTCCTCGCCAGCCTTGCTGACAATGAGAACGCCAGTCGCAGATACACCGTCTCCGGCAGTATCAAAGATGACTTTCCTGACCTGTGTCTCGGTCAAGACTACCAGGTTTGGTCGTGCAGCCACTTCCGGTGTGTAATAAGCGCTCGCCGCGAAGCTTCTCGTCTTGTTCTCCGGATCAATGCTGCACGGGTTCTGAAAAGCACCATAGGCCTTCCCACTCCGAGGATCACCAGTCACGCCAAGGCCAAGCTTATCGAATGTGCTCATCCACGCAGCGTTCATAGAGCTGTAGCCTTCGCCAAAGGAGACCTGAATTGGGCCTTTTCCGCTCAAAGTTTGATCGTGGTAGTCCAGCCCAACTATGTCCTTTGCGGACTGGGGAGGAGGATGATCAGTGCCAAACTTGCGGAAATAAGGCGCCAGCTCGTCGAAACTCCAGCCGGCGTTGCCCAGCGCACCCCATGCATCTAAAACTCCCCTTGATGGATACAGCATCAACATGAAGTTTAAGGCAGAGCTGCCTCCAAGCATTTTGCCTCGTGCTTGGTTAATTCTTCGGTTGTTCAAACCAGGCTAGCCAAGGTCAGATGATTGCAGTCGGCCGATAAAGGGGTTGGCTCACCTGAGGCGCTGAGGTGAAATTCCAGTCATATTCATCCTTTCCATAGACGCCTGCCACTAAGCCAGGCATCAAGACCAAAGGGTCCGCGCTCTTGTCGGCACCAGCTTCAACAACTAGAACACGAGTGCCGTTGTCTTCGCTAAGGCGAGAAGCCACAACTAGACCCGCTGTTCCACCACCTACAACAATGTAGTCGAAAGAGGAATCGAGATCTTGGAAAGAAGACATGGTATTTCTTCTGAGTTTTTGGCGGCTGTAGTCAAGATTACAAAGGGAGAAAGACTTTAACTTCAGCTTGCACAAGAGGGTTTTCTTATCTCAACTGACGTGACTTCGCCTAGTGTGCGATGCTAGGATGGATGGCCATCAACACTCCACAGTAAGCAAGTAGGCACACATTCAGCCAACTGCATGAATCTAGCCTCTGCTGGTAGGATAGTCCGCAATGCCCTGGTCAGAATCCACTATCGCAGTCTTTGGTTGCATTCGTTGGTTGTCTTTGGGAGAGAATACCAACACGACAGGGCCTGAGTTCATCACGCTTTCTTGATTTCCGGGCGAACAGCTCATGAGCTCTGAGCGACCTTATTCGAAAAAGGCACAGCATATCGGTTTTCTTTCTACTCGCAGACCGAAAGCGAGTTTCACTTTGCGAACCATTAACAACTGGAAGCCATGTCTATCCACTGACACAGGCTTGGACAAGTGGATATGGGGATGCATGTACTTAGCCTGCTCCCTATGTCTGTAGCCTTCCGCAAGTTAACATTTGTATCCTCAATTTGACAAGGTCGAAGTAGCAGTTCTGTTACGTGTGCGGTTCCGAGGATTCAGGCACCTTTCACTTTGGTTCATAGAGGCATTCAAGACGCGTTGTTACCAGTGCGCATTGCCGAAAAAATTTCACCTTGCTGACCATGAGCTTGTCAGTGAAACCAAAGATGGATGATGTCCCGCGCAACCCCAGCAAAGTCCATCTAACGGTTGGAGCTAGGGACGGCACCACGGGTCTCGTCCCGCGGCGAAACTCCCCGCGCCGCACACTCACTTGACAGATACGGATCGGCGCAGAACTTTTGTGTGGATGACGCAAGTCAGTGGATCACTGCAGGGGATTTGCTGCAGGCATTCCGAAAGCTACAGCGCTAGCAACATCTATCGTACCATGCGTGCTGTGCCAACAGTCCCAACCAACGGTGCAGAGGGCAACTCTTGAAGAATGCATACATTGGCCTCGGCCCGTAGTGAAGCGGTCATGATGGAGGAGTTAGCTGTTGCTGGATTGATTGGCTGATTATTGTCCTCTCGCTGGCAAGCGCCTGGGAGCTTGAACATTATGCGCAATCAGCTGGGCCATTTTCCTGTGGCCAGAATTAATGAAGTGTCAAGTTACGCTAGCTGCAGTAGTCGGCCTCGTTAAACTTCGAATAGTCACAAGGAGACGCCAAATTTCTGGCATTACCTCTCACTGTCAAGGCCTAGACTCTTTCGGCGGCAATAATAAAGTTCAACCCGTTCCGTCTTGCGGCCTCCAGCGGCTGCATTATTTCGGTCGGCTTGGCAGAATTGCTGAAGATTCTGGCTAACCTGAGCCTAGCGTGAACGTAAGATCAGCGGATGTTGGGCAGCTGTGCCGCATACGAGCATGGCAATTTCCGCTTGCTGTGATGCGGAGGTAATACTCGTTTCCGTGTTAGGCCGCCTCACAGTGACAGGACCAACACCAGTGATCCGCGGGCACGAGTAAAACAAGCAGGGGCTCTAGCGAGCTTCAAGCGTTCGTGTCTAGCATGTTTAACAGCAGGATATCTTCAGAATCCAAAATGAGATGATGGGTTGGTTTCTTTGTCTTATTTTGGATTTTGTCCAAATCCGAACGATCGCGCTCGACAATATTTCCTTCAATCTCTTTGAGGCGAGATGTAGACAACGCCTTCTGGGTAGTTCTCGCTACTGCCCGCTATTATGGCGTTCCATGCTGTCAGCTTTCCAACCTTGCCGATAGTCAAGGCTCATCTTCTCGTGAACTGCGTATTGGTTATCTTCGCAGTTCTTATAGTCACGCTCCGTTTCTTCGCACGCTTCTCTTCGGGGGCTAAGCTGTGGTGGGATGATCTCCTCATTCTCCTTGCAGTGCCTCAGGGCATCGGGATGTTAGTAATCCAAGGCTTGTGTGAGTACTCGGCCCCAAAACGAGGAACATAGTTCTGAATGGACCTGACGAATCTGCTATCAGGGTCGCCCATGGGTATCGGTTACCCGATCACAGACACCCTTCCAAACATCGTCATCATCCTCAAACTTCTAGTTGCCTACGAGTTCATATTCGCGACCTGTATCAGCACCATCAAACTCAGCGTCATGTTTTTCTACCTTCGAGTCTTTGTCAACCCAGGACTCCGAACCGCGACAAAATTCGCCATGGGCTTTGTCATGGTCTGGACAACGGCCAACATCCTCCAGGTCTTCTTGATTTGCCATCCATTCGAGGCAACATATAATCCAGCTGTCACGGGCAAGTGTGGAAATCAGATAGCATCGTTCATCGCCATCGGTGCTTTCAATGTCATTACAGACATCATGATTTTGACATTGCCGATATCGACTGTCTGGGCACTCAAAATGAGTACGCCTGCCAAACTTGGTATCATCGCCGTCTTCTCAACAGGCTTGATGTATGGCTGCCCTTGTATCCCTCCCCTTTGGCTGTAGGCTAACAAGAAAACGAAACAGAGTCAGCGTAGTTGCCATCATCCGCATCGTTAGCCTCACCAACCTCGATCTCCAGAACTTGACTGAAACAATGATATGGGCCGACTTTTGGTCGACCGTGGAGCCGAATTTGGGTATCATATGTGTTAGCATGCCGATGCTGGGATCACTGTACTCGCGGTGCACAGCTCGGCGGGGTGCTTCAAAGCTAGACGGGCCTTCGGACGCCAGCGGCTACAACAATTCGAATAAGTTGAGACGATCGCACCCAAGCGCACCTGGTACTATCGTTTTGGCTACCATATACTCCCCGGAAAACGATGTACGCTATCGGTCTGAGGTTGCTTCGTTCGGACGTAACGGAAAGAACGATGATAGTGGGGATGACTTCGAGTCACGCCTGACCCCTGAACAAGAGCTTTTGGGCAGAGATAAAGTGATACAGGTAGAAACGCAGTGGACCGTGTCTCGTCAAGAGGCTTGATGCATTTCTTTACCAAGAGATTCAAAGTTTTCATTTGTGATAAGTTTGAAAATTTGACCCGACCGCCCTCGGCTTAGTTGTGATTGAGTGAGGCAATTGAGGTGGCCAGGTGCGAGAGTATCAATGCTAACGCTCGCATATTACACTTGGACAATTGACGACGGTTGTCAGATCTTGTGGGCTGAACACATGGCATCATACTAATTGCTCCCCTTTAAGCTTCTTCGAGAAACCTTCATAAAGTAAACAGGAACAAACTACAATTGAGCGGCATGGCGTCACTCGGCGCCGCCTCTTATAAAATCCCGAGGCCTCGGTAACGGTTACCTAATCAGGAAAACCGGACCCGACGCCGACTAGCACGGGCCGTGTCTGCGTGGCCGTTCGACTCGTCTTTGCCATGACGTCTCACGACGGCCCCGAGATTTTACAAATTTTCGGCTTCCTTCTTTCTACTTTCGTCTTCTTTCGGAAATCCAGCCCGTATTGGACGACGACTTTACCGAATATGCCCAGTAACGCCTCAAGCTCTAGAACCCACAAGTCGTGTGATGCATGCACGTCGCGCAAAGTCCGATGTCCAGGTAGGCGTGCTTGATGCTGCGTCGACATGTGCAGATATCTCAATGGAATGATAGCTAATCACCAAATTAGGCCCAGGGTCATCTGGAACTTGTACCAACTGCACGGTAAGATTTAGCACCTATCAGCATAATTCTCGCGACCTCTTTCGACGCCTGTACTGACACAATTTCCGTAGAGAAGGAAGAGCGAGTGCGTTTTCGGCGTGAGGAAACTGGCCCGCAGGCCAAACAGTACGTACCCTTTCGTTGCCATGTCCAAGGCAATATCGATTTTATGTCTTCGGGGCTCTTGAGGACTCATTAACAATCTTACGGACGATTAGTTCAAAGACAATTTTTCCCTACGAGCCGGTCTTCCGGCACGCCTGATGAGATACAACAAGGGTGCACCGTATCGGTTTTAGACTTCGCAACACTGCCAACACCGGCATCTAAGTCACCGGATCCGACAATCTCGGAGAAATCATCCACTCCCGATCCAAATGCCCGACGGCCCGCCCCGCACCGGATTCCGGAACTCTACGTGGATCGAGTACTCGATAGAGCTCGTAAAGCTCCGAGATCAACCAGGCCTTCCGAGGCCTCCAACTATGTCAAAGTAAGCCCACATTGATAGCCCCACTTTCTTGAACTTCTGCTCACTCCGAAAAGGGTTATGGTATTTTTGGTAAGTGCAATGTACTTCTAAGGGGAAATTCCATATCTCACCCTACCATCTCACGTACCCAATGACGCCCTGACCAGTAAGTCATAGGCGGTACGAAGAATTTGACCTTCTTTTCTGAAGGGAGATTGAAATCCCTCGCACAATGCCTCGGCCATGAGAAAGTCCACGATCTGGTCGGGCGAATTGCAAGCGCTGTTGAGGAACGCGGGAGGTTCGTCAAACTCCGTGCTTGTAGTTTGAATCGTCGACCTGAGCGCCCGGCCTGCCTTGACGACAAAGCCCTTCTCGCAAAGTATGTTAAATGTAAGTAATCTTCTTCTCCCACTCTTCTTGACTGTTATTTCGCAATGAGCTTATCATAAGCAGTATATTTTGAGCAAGTACACCCTCGGTTCCCGTTCCTCGACCGCGACGCATTCGAGAGGACTGCTTTTAGTCAGGATCAGCCTCACTCTGCGCCCAAAAGCAAGTCATGGATATGTCTCTATCATTCCGTTCTTGCTCTTGGTTGTCAATACGACGGTGGTGGGTCTTTTGAGCCTGGGGAAGGTGATGCATGGAAGTTCTTCTCAATCGCTCTAGCCAACTTTGCCGATTTGATCATGCTACCAGACACTCTTACAACTTTCCAAGCTGTAGTAGCAATGATGATATACTCGCTTGGTATTGCTGGTATTGTGCTGGAGCACGTCCTCATGTCAGAAGCTGCCCGGCGAGCACAGAATCTCGCCGACGCCAAGTTTGTCGGAGCCGCAGCAGACGCATTCCGGCGGACTTTTTGGGTGTTTTACTCATTGGAAAAGATCAATAGCTTCCATCATGGTAGATCATCTGTGAGCTCAATCCCCTGACTGACTATTTTGTCTCTTCTGACTGACATCCCCGAAAAGGCAATCATGGACTGCGATATATCCTGCTCCGTTCCATCCACACCCGAATCCTTCTTCTCTGGCGGCTTCGATTGGTTTTTATGTTTCGTCAGCCACGCGCGTCTGCTATCCCGGGCAAACACATCACTCTTCTCTGTTGGCGTATCCGATAACCCCGGGGAGTACCACCTAGACATCATCGATCAGCTTCTGGACGAGCTCGAAGATTGGAGAAACTCACTGCCGGATAACGGCTTCAGGCCAGGCGGCTGGGTCAAACCTCACTCAATCATTGAAGACCAAGAGCGTACAGTTGCTCTAGTCACACATTTTCTCTACTACAGTTTCCTCCTGACGATTTCTCGAATGGCTTTGAGATACTTGCCAGTGTCAGAAAACTCTCCAGAATATTCTCGCCGAGATGAAACTCTGAACACTGTAGAGCACAGTGCTCGTTCCTTGCTAGAATTGATCTCGATAATAGACATGTCGCCCTACACCCCCATGTGGTAAGTCGCACTTCCGATCCCAGTGTGCCTTGAATAACATAGGTCGTTACAGGATGATGGCAACAATTCCCATCATGGCCTTTTTTGTCTTATTCGATCTCGTCATCCATAATCCTCGGCAAATTCATACAGCAACCAACTTGGCGTTGCTTGACGTGGTAAAGGGCCACTGCAGCCGAATGGAAATGATCTCGAATGGTGCGATACCAGGATCCATGGTTGGCGAGTTTGCACAGATCGCTCGAAGTTATGTGAACGAGGTCAACGGACGGAGTCCAACCGGCCTGACACCACATGCGCCATCTGAAGCATTCCAGGCACTCACTACACAGCCTCAATGGTCACTGCCCCAGCAACCCAATTATGACGTCGCTTCAACGGACATTCACACGGACTTCTCGACTGTAAGTAAACCTATCACTGGATACTGTCAGCGAGCGGTACTTCACGGGAGCGATGTAGCATTAACGGAAATATTACAGATGAACTTGGCCTCTAACTCGACTATGACGGGACGTATGGATATCGAAGCACCCGCGGTTGTCCCCAGTCCGCTCGTCGGAACTGACGTGATGAATCTCTTCGAAGGCTGGCTCCCCGACCTGGATCCCATGTTCTTCCACACTATGAGCGCTCAGAACAACATGGACCAATCGACATCTCAGCATGACTTCCCGATTTCCTCGGATCCGTTGTATGGACATCCCTCTTGACGTATAATATTATTGTACCCAATAAACTCCCGTTACGTAGTACATCCCGCAAAATATCAAAATTCAATTACGATGTCCAGTCAGGCAGCCTAAGTCGATGTGCATAACACTGTGAAATCAGTCGGTTCCTGGATTTCCCCCCTCCAGGAACTTGAAGAATGTCAGACGATTGCCATCGTTATCCTTAATAGTGAATTGACGGTAACCCCAAGGCGTATCTCGGATAGCTTCGACAACTTCGACTTTTCCCTTGGACAATAAAAGGTCGTGGAACTGGTCCAGACCTGCCGTGCCCAAAGCGATCATTACTCCTCCAGGATGGAACTCGTTTGGTTCGCACAGGAAGAAGTAGATGTTGGCAGCAGCCTTATTTCCTGTGTAGACGGAGCAAAAGTAGAGCGGAGAGTCATCACCATTCTCGGGCTTGGTTCCGCCCAGGGTGAACCCCAGCTCGCTCGTATAGAAGTCGACTGTGGCAGCGATATCCCGCGAGCTAAGCGACGGGATTATCTTCCAAGCCGACCCGATACCCTCGCCTTCGGCCATGTACGTGAATCCGGTGTTTGGTGCGTAACCTTTTGCCCAGTCCCCGATGGGATAATTACATGCGTTAATGTTGTTACTTCGTGGTATTCGAGACTGGGGTCTGCCTGATCGCACGGATCAACGCGGCTTCTCCCTCCTTCTTCATGCACTCCGCGTTAGGACAGTTGAGGCAGCGCAAGTATATCAGATGGGTTGGGTGAACGGACACCGAAGGCCGATCGATGACTGATGTCAACATCTATGCCGCGTAAAGAATTTGTTGTGTTTAGAGAGCGGTGAAGAAAATTCTAAACCGGACCACCGGCACTACATGAAGGAAGTTTCAGACGAATCGGTTGTGGTGGGTGTGATGGACAACGTCATGGTCACATTCGAGTCCAAGCCCATCCGCGTGAGGGACACACTCCTTTTCTTTTCTTCTTCTTGGCCTGTCTCTTTCAGCCTCCTCCTTGGGTATTTCCCCTCTTTTTCATCCGAGACTGTGCCCCATCGGCACCGTCAGCAAGCCAAGATGGTAACCTCAATCCATTGGCTAAACGTGGCCTAGCTCAGGTTGCTTCCGCATTTTCGGAGACTACCACGACTACCTAGATGTAGGAAGTTGAAGAAGGGTCAGGTGGACCGAACTCAAAATGCAAAATTCGCCCGGCATTGCTGACTGGCCCGTCATCGGAAGTGCCCCGCGTGAGGGGCAGCTCAAACTAAACTCGTTTGTTCCTGGATTAGCAAACTCTTATGCCGTCCGACTCAATAACGTCGGTGATAATAAGCTCGGCGCCGGCGCGCGCGGGGTTTCCAAGAGTTCGAAAATAGCGGATTCTCGCCGAGAGTCGCAGGCCAAGCAGGTTCATTGCATCGCATTAGCGATAGGGTATTGATCTCCTTCAAGCCCTTGTTGCCTTTAGTTAGACGTTTGGTGGGAGCTCCACCTCTGATGAACAGGAGCTGTAAGATTATGTTTGCAATGGACTGGATAACAGCACGACTTATGGAGTGTTTCAAAACATAATATTAAATAGATCAACCCGTATATTCATCGTAGGGTATTAACTAAGAACTAGAAGGTTCGTAGATTCATTACTGCGTTCATCATTGCGCACTTAAGAACTGTAATCGTCGCCGCAAAATTGCAGCTAAAGCAGCCAAGAAAAACAACATCGCTTCAACACATCCGTGTCGCCTCTCTAGATAATTTCATATCTGCGCAGAACAGCAAGTACCAGGGGCGGAATGCCTCGTAGATCGTTCTCATCGGGGCCAAGTCTGGAAAAGTCATCATTTCCCCTGAGGGCTTCTTGAGCAGCGATATTTGCTTCGGGTGTATCAGCGGCACTGATATCCGCAAAGGCAGCTTCCGCGTTGGGAAAGTTGGTGATCGGAATAGCTGCAGCTTCAGCTTCGGTGACAGGACCCGCAAGAGCCTTGTTTCTGTCGCCGACACCAAGGGCTCTTGCCACTCCGGCAAGAAGATCAGTGAGCACAGGCACGGCCTTGGATGGGATCTTGATCTTCCCAGCACGACCATCGTACTCGTCGATGGCGGCTGTGAAGTTGCCCTGAATCTGGTCGCTAATCTGGGTAGCGATGGGTTGGAAAGTTGGATCAAGCGCTTTGGTAAACTAGGCAAGAGTCAGACAGGCACTCCTCTGGATCACAGAAGACGTTTAACTTACTGCACCACCCAAATCTCCGGCCTTGTCCTTTTGAATAACCACAGAGTCGCGAATAAGACTTCTCACGTCCAAGATTCTGAAGCCAGCCTTGTCGAACTCTGGACGCTTACCCTGGACCTCAGTCAACAAGTTGTTGATCTCCGGCTGGAGACTAAGGAACTGTGTGCCGATCTGGGTCCTACAAGTGACAGGGTTAGCACAGACATTCCAGTTTCCCATCGGAGAATTTCAAGAAACAGCGGCTTACGATTCGTTTGCCGGCAGGGTGTTGGTGGCCTCTGCGGACTTTGTGCTGACATCGATGGTACTTCCAAGGGTGACAATCGCCTCGTTTACTTTCAGCAGCCCCACCAAGCCTTTGAGTGTGCCTCCCTCGAAGGGGACAACTGTATCATTGGCTTCGGCAACCCGCTTTCGAAGATCTGCGATCTGGTTTTGGAGGGCAGCAGCTCCTCCTCTGACAGGCTGATTGTCACCTTTGCCTCCCTTCCCTTTGTCTTTGTCTCTGCCGCCGCGGCCTTTTGCCTCTGTTATTGGCATCGCCATCTGGGCACTGGCCACGCCAAGGCAGAGAAGGAATGATAGGAGAATGTAGAGCCTCATATTGGTAGGCGATTTGGGATAAGTCGGAAAGTAAACGAATGGGGCAGAGTTGCTTGGAAAATGATGGCACAATCTCGTGATAGGTAATTGTCTGCTTTGGGATTTTTGGCTCGGACATGGCGGATAAGATCGTGGGATAAGCCATCACGTAAATACTCGGAATGAGACTTTCACGAGCCGTGACGCCGAGGCAAATTCAGCTACAATATGAACGGGTCTTGATAGATGAACAGGGCTAAGGGTAGATGAGGTAACGGCCAGCCTGACCCCAAATTGACCAAAGAGCCGAAATTCATAGAATCGGCGACTTTGTGACGGGCCATCGCGCCGGCGGGAATCCCAAATCTCTGGGCAGAAGCAAGGGTCGAGCATGATGCCACGCGGGGTTCAGTCTGTAACCACAAAGTTTCTCATCGAAGCCATGCCCTTGAACCCATACAAGCATACAAGTTGGGGGCCCCGTGGGGAACTATGGGCTGCCCGCGAACTGGTGCTGAGACCCCCCTCATGAAACACGGTTGGGTGGGAGACTCTGGACACCATCTTACATGTTTGACCAATCAGACACTTGATGTTTCCGAGTAGACTCGCAACTTATACTTTTAAAGTCGTCACCAACAGAGGAAGACTTCGTCAACCTATCTACTGATCCTCTATTACATATAACATACGGATGCCTCGACAACAAGAGCCGCGAATAAATGCCCAGCACCTTCCCTCGGGATGGACGGGGGCTTTGCTTCCCATGTCACCCTCCATTCTTGAATGAAGAGGGTGGCCACTGGTGGGATGTGATGAAATAGAGATGTCGCTTTCGCTATGCAACGTTCGTGAAGTCCTGGGTGCACCCTCCATCTCCCCTTTCAACTCTACGTCACCATGGAAAGAAACTGCCACCAGACGATGGGTAGCTTCTGCCATGCATCGGCTGAAAGAGGGGGGATCTATTCGTCTTTCATTGTCTAGACCGCCGTCAAGGTTCCCCGCCCGTGATTTCGCGCAATTGGAGTTCATGGGCTTGATCAAATGAGGGATCAGTGGGAGAAAGCCTCCATCGTCGGGCTTTTTTGACTGCCCATCACATCCACCTCCTCGGGTTCGGTGAAGTCATTGAGCCGTCGCCTAGAGGTCGTTGGACCCTTGGCCCAAGCTGGCCATCCGATGCAATGACTGTAAGAACAGATGATGATCAAGGTCTCTGTAATCACTCTCGCCTATCGCATCTCACGTTCCTTCTTCTTTACAAAACTTTGAGACACCGCTACCGGAGCTCATCTACTGGCCGCAGATGGTGGGCTACTAGGCCCTTCTGACGGCTCGGAATTGGAAACCACACAGATGCTATGATCTTGGTCGGAGCTCAAGATCTGAGTGATCTCATGACGGGCACCCTCGATGGGGTTACCGGTAGATACGCTACCGACGCTGACAAGCAACCCTGCTTGCGTACATGCACTGCGCTGCACAATCAAAAGTGCGGTCGACAGAAACTATCATCTCTTGCATCCTCAAAGCTGACAGGTTAATATGTAATTTTCGTGTTGTCCTAATCGGGCATCTGCGGGAGATTTCACTGACTCTCCTACCCATTTGAGTTCAGGTCTGCAAACCGAGGCGGTCCTAATCTGATCACGCGATTCGTGCCCCGCACCATGGTTTGATCGGAGGTTGGGAGACAGCGGGAGGGAATCAGAAGAGAATGGGGGGAGAAAAGGCAAGCAGCCGCTGCGAAAGTCTAGACCAGCACGGAAGCAGCTCTTCGAAGTGGAGAAATACCCGTCTTAGAATTCCGGTGACCCAACACGGGAACGCAGGACTTCGTTCAAGGAGACCCCTAGGCAGGCGATGTTAAACACCGAGACGGCGTCCGAGAAACGCGGTGGAGGTCGGGTCCGGTGAGAACTTTCTAGTTAGACGAACAATAAGCTTAGGTATGTGCTCAAGCTAAGCCTTACAACCAGAAGAAATCCGCAGTCACTCAACAAACTAATGTAAGGGCAAAGGGCAAAAAGAATAGTCCCCGCCTTCTCGTCAACCTGCAAAGCTAAAACAATCCTACCGTCGATCAATCTTACTTGAGGCTCTGCGAATGATTCGGCACAGGTCGAGAGTGCTCTGTGCTCCCACCCACATTCGCCGTTTGGACTTGGGGCATCCGGTTTCGGACGATACTGTCCCATTGAGGTGATTTATGTCAAAAACGAAGTAAGCAAGTAGGCTGACAGACTCCCGCTGAAGTCGCTCTGACATCATTACGAGAAGGAATGAGATCATCTAAGGAGATGTTATAGAAGTTGCGAGTCCCTTTTATTAGATGGTTGTAGTACAAAAACGGATCCGTAATTGCCGGCCAGCAATTACGCCTCATTTACCACAATGGTGTTATGAGTACTCTCTCTCGGATCTTCATCCATTCATTGGAACGAGTGATGCGATTGATCCAAGTTTTTTGAGAAGTACATAACGTCAAGTAGCAATCAGTCCTCTAGTAGGACCGATGTGCTGCCAAGTGATCTGAACAGTGGCCGTCAGGATGTCGTGGATGAGTTGCAACGACACATTCCTCAGTACATCATGGACATGACAGTGAAGAACTCTGAGAAAATGAATTTTCGTTGATGTCAGTTCAATTCGTGATTGATACCCAACTCGCTTCATTTAGATATCATGTGTGTCTGGCTAGCTCATTTGGGTAGAAACGCCCCATCCAGCTGACGAAACATCTCCTTCTGCCACGTACTCCTGACTTCTGACCAGGTCTCGGGTTTTTGAGGGTCGACGAAATGTGTCCTGGGAAGTTTTTACTGGTGAGCGATCATGCCAGTGTTGTTTGGGAAAATAGGTACCTACCGAGACGCAGACGTTTTCCTACCATCCTCTCGATGCATTCTTCTCGAGCTTCAAGACTTTGTCCACATCCTCGTTCCACACACGCTCTACAGGTTGCGTGTAAGAAGGGTCAACAGCGATGCCAATCAGGAGAGCCCGGGGCCTTGGATGAAGGTTATGCAGGATGACACCAAGGTTATGAGGACTGTAGCGGTATTCTTCATCTACCTCGGTGAGATCCATGCAAGCAGCGACGTAGTAAGGCGTGTTCTGGAACATTGGTGGAATGTCGCTGATTCCACGCCCGTGCCCGAGGCCGATAACAACCACGGTAATATTCTGTTTCATTGCTGGAGTCGAGTTCAGGATGACTTAAGCTTCTATAAAGACCAATGCGGGCGATAAAGCACATGTATGTAAGCAGTGACGACACATCGTAAAGAACGGACTGCTGGTCTTACTTCTCTTGATTATATTTCCTAGCTTGGTACCTTACCTTATCTGACATCATTTGATCCTATATGTCTCGGAGCTCAGAGTGACATCCTCCCGCCTAGCGCCTCAGTTGAGAGACGCCAGACGATTGAAAGCACCGGCTCAAAGTAAACATCAGCGCTAAAGTAGCGCTTATTCGCACGGGAAGATCCGGCCTCCTCTTAAATCGGTAGGTATCCAAAGGCACCCAGCATCGCTTTACCTCAGGGACGGCATTTAACTCAACTACCGACCTGCCCATCATTCGCATAGTCGCACATTACCGACATCATGTTGCAATATGCGATACCTCCAGCCTTCAAAGACAAATTGCAGGTGATCAATGCTCACGACCAGCGATCGGACGACGAGATCTTTGAATCTCTACGCTGCCACGTACCTGTTGTAGGCGAGAAGAACGTATGGGCCTACTGGGATGGCGGAATTGATCAACTTCCATCGTGGTGTAGGCGCAACGTGATTGATTGGGTTCGCATCTGCGGTCCAGACTGGACTGTTCGCGTTCTTGACAACGTGCCAGGGTCGCCAAATCATGCTTTGGAGTTCGCACCAAAGGAGATGCTTCCCAGGTGCTTTATCGAGGGTACCATGACTGGAAAGCATGTTGGGCAGCATTCATCTGATATGATCACTGGGGCATTGTTGTACACCTACGGCGGTGTGAAAATGGATGTTGGATGCATTCTTTTCCGTGACTTGGATCGTGGTTTGTGGTCTGCCTTAGAGGATCCTGAGTTACCATACGAGATCGCCGCGCCAATTCAATTTGCGCAGTATTTGGCGAATCACTTTCTCGCGTCGAGAAAGGGCAACCCGTTTATCAAAAGATGGTAAATACACTTCTACTCCATGAGGATGTATTAAGCAGAGGAAGCAAGTCTCTTGATCATATCTTGTACTATGCTGACTACCCCAGGCACGACCTTTTTGTTCATCTTTGGGAAGACCGTGAGACTAGTGAGGGTATAAACACTCATCCACTGTTAAGCCACGTGAAAGAATCCTTTTCCCTCTCTGAATCCAAAAGCAAGGGCTTCAAGTGGGACTTCAAGGTCTCTTTTGAGGAGCTCCTGGATTACGTCGCCCAGAATGCATGCTGGGCACGAGTGTGCATGGTCGAGGGGGGCGATGACGATTCTTTCAACGCATCTGAGTACTGGATGTCGCACGTCCTCGTCATCGACGTGCTACAGGAGCACTGGGCTGCGAAGACTCTCATCGGTGGGGAGAACTTCGGGGAGCATCTCTATGAGTTGTTAGCGCTCGGTCTTGACACTGACCCAGAGTCAGAGTGTCACAAAGAGGCCTCCAAGTTAGTGTGGACACTGCTTTCTGAGACAAGCATGCAAAAGATATCCCGAGGGTCAGGCCTCGTGAACTCTCTGCAACCTGGAAGTGTATGGGATGATAGACCAGGCGCAGATTGCCAACCAGGCATATTTGGAGGCTTGTTGCGATATGGTGCGATAAATTTCACTCAGAAACGACAGAAGATTGCGGTGAGAACCCCAGAGAAAGCAAAGACGATCTTGCGAAAGGGCCTTCTTGAGTCTTGAAGAAGTTGTTTCTATAAGTAAAGAACGGCAATAGAATCGCTTGATTGGAGAGCCTGGTAAATTCGAAATACGTCGCACGACACACAATCTGGTAGCCACTGAATTCCAGAACAAAACCCACTGCGCCTTAACATAAGTTAAGCTGAGGCGCTGGGTACATGGGACCCTGATCTAATATAATGTCAACATTACTTAGAAGGCTACTATGGTTCCTCTCTTACTTACCCTTACTAGTAAGCGACGAGTCTTCGTTACAGCCTGTAAGATGCTCGGCAAGCAGTAACCATCAATTCCCCACCTAGAAACAGCGAAATAGTTGACTACTCTGATAGTTCAACCCTATTTTCATGTGTTGGAGTTTCAAAAGTTCTTGACGATGCAGTGGCGAACTACGGGCATGGCTATAAGGCAAACAGATATTACCTAAAGGAGGCGAGAGGGGCCTATCAAGAGAAGCTTCTTGTGCAAGACTATTACCAATCCGTGAAGGATTTCAGAATCCCAAAGTTCCTATGCAGTGAGACAAGAAGCATAATCGCGGCGTCCACACACTTGCCACCCAAAAAATCGCTCATCAACAGCCTCAAGAGTTCCCCGCCTTTCAAACTTAATCAACTGACCCAACTACTCGGTCATGTCAGAGTTCCAATATCACGCACCTGCCTATCACCGTAAGTAGCCAAGCCTTTAATCACCTTCCAGAAGCAGACAGCTCGAGGAACTAGGTGCTCGGCGAGCTTCTTGGACCAAATTGACAGTTGCTGCGCACGCCTACGAAGCTTAGGCGGCTGGGGGGTCGCCAAGACCGCCAAGGTCAGCTTGGTCCCTATCGTATGGAACCAAGCTCTGCTTATCATGTACTCTCATATTGGCCAAGCTTTTACGGTAGTATCGGTCAACCTTTGGTGCTTCCCTCCGCTCGGGTTCGATGGGCGAGATGTTAGGCCGCGTGCCTGGATTTCGCCAGCCTCCCCTAAAATCACGACTGCCATAGCATTCTCCACACCAACGTCTGCCATGCGGGGGACAAGAAAGGCCGTCTTATTAGTTAGCCTTGGATGATGACGAACCCAATTGAGGATTTCGAGTACTTATAGATCGAGTAGCTACTCTGTCCTAGGGGATAGTCTCATCGTCAAGTCTGTGTCAAGTAGCGGTACTCTTTGGCTGAGTCACTTTACAAAGATTCTGTCAACATGGTTCGCATCAACTCTGCAGCCCTTTTGGGCTCTGCCATTGTCGGTTTGACTAGCGCAGCTGGCGCTGGCACCAAGGCCGAGTATGCGTCCGGCGCCGTTCACCACCGCATCATGGGCATCAAGATGGTGAGGTCTCGCCCACGATACCTGATGATAGTGATTCAGATTTGCTAATACCACAATAGGCTCAATGGGAAGAGGAAGCTGCCGCTGGACTTATGGATAGTGCCAAATACCCCGAGCTCAGCTATACTCCCTGCGTTGACGGCTTTGCTGCCGCAATTCCCGGAGACTTCAACAACACCTTCAGATGCAGAAATGTGAGTTTACCAAACTCCTCTCGAAGGCTCAACTAATACCCTTCAGATCGATCTGTACCACTTCTTGTCTCACGAGCAGCTTGGCAGCTGGGGCGGAAGAGGTTCATCATCCTGGGGTTGGACTTCGGCAGACGGAAGAGAATTCGTCGCCATTGGCCAATACGACGGCACTGCCTTTGCCGAAATCAGCAAGGAGGGCAAGCTGGTATACTTGGGCCGTCTGCCTCAATACGATTCCATTGGATCCAACTGGAGAGAAATCCGAATCGTCGGTGACATCGCCGTCATTGGCTCCGAAGCCATCAAGCACGGCGTCCAGTTCTTCGACATGAAGAAGATCCTCGACCTCGACCCCGCGAACCCAAAGAACTTCACCCAGGCCGAGCTCACCGGCCACTGGGACGAGCTCCCCGTCGGCCGCACCCACAACATCGTCGTCAACCAAGAGCTCAACTACGCTATTGCCTGCGGTTCCGTCGGTGGTAACGCGACGATTCGTGTAAGAGACAACCTCCCCTGCCGCGGCGGGTTGATCTTCCTAGACATCAGCGATCCCACCAACGTCACCAGCCCCGGATGCGCAGCCGGCGACGGCTACGTCCACGACGCCGAGTGCCTCGTCTACCGTGGCCCCGATACCCGCTACTATGGCCGAGATATCTGCTACGGTTACAACGAAGACACTTTGACCATCTACGATGTCACCGACAAGACCGGCAACGTCACCAACATCATCTCCATCAGTGACTACCCCGGCGCTCAGTACGTCCACCAGGGTGTCGTTAACAACGAGACTTGGCAAGAGTACATCTTCCTCGACGACGAGTTCGACGAGCGTGACGCCAAGGTTGGCCCGATGACTCAGGGCCTTCCCACCACTCACATCTTTGACATCCGCGACCTCGAGAAGCCCGTATACACCGGCCACTACGCCGGCAAGACCCGCTCCATCGACCACAACCAGTATATTGTTGGCGGCTACCTCTACCAGTCAAACTACGGCAACGGCCTGAACGTCATCGACGTCAGCAGCGTCACCAAGGACCCCACAGGCGCCAGCATCTGTGAAGCCGGCTTCTTCGATATCTACCCCGAAGACGATGAGGAAGTCGGCGGCGGCAAGGTCCAGTTCGCCGGTTCCTGGTCATCGTACGCCAACTTCAAGTCCGGCTTCATCTTTGTCCACACTATCGAGCGCGGTAGCTTCGTCGTCAAGATGACTTCCAAGGAGTGCCCTAAGGCGCCTGTGTGCAACGCGGATAACTGCCTCCGTGCTCTGCGGGCTTCGTCCATCCCGGATCGCTTGGAGGAGTCTGTCGAGTTCTGCGGCAACTTCACGCAGCGACTGAACACGGACGAGGAGCTGCTACCAGAGTATGCCACCAGTGCTTGTGTCGAGAACAAGGACAAGAGCCCCGTCGGAAGGGTTAGCAGTGCTTGCGCTTGTATTCCCACCCCTGTTGTGCCTGAGCTGCCCAGAACAACGACACGGCCTCCTGTGCCGACGGTGCTGCCTCCTAAAGCTTGAGATAATCTTATTTCAGAAACTGAAAGTGGTATTCAAGGAAAGAGAAAAGGCACACATAAGCGCTAATGGAACTGTAGTCGCTCTGCTTCTGCTCATGCATCAATATTGTGACGGAACCAGACTCTGGAACAATGTTTGATCAAGTTGGGATCTCGCGTAATTGAAGCATTTGGCACTTCCGATGTCTTCGTTCAAAGGATTGACTCATCCTGTTCCTTGCGCATCGTCTTTGCCACTTCCTGATCCTCAGACCATTAATGAATGCGACGCATTCCCTCTGGCCATGGCTCATTGTACTCAGGGCAGATGAGGTCCAACTCAAAGAAGTAGTGCTCCATATCCCGCCTGTGGTATGGGTTTCTAGATTTACGCTCGCCGCTCCCTGTTGACTTGTCCCATATCACGCCGATTTCCTCTGCATCTCGTCTTTCTTCAGCAGTCAAGTCTTCCCCGCCCAGCTTTTCTAACTCATCGGTCATTCGATCGGCCCAGTATGATTTCCAAAACTGAGGGAACAATGGGATATCGTTTGGCCCATTTCCCAGATACTCGCTAGCTTTTTGCGTAAATTCAACGACCAAAAGCTCGTGTAACTTGAGTAAGAAGTCGTGCTCCTCGATGACCTCCAGATCATCCATATCAATCCAAGCCGCACCTTCCTCGACCAGAGAACTTGGATTACAACAGCTATGGGCCATGCCCAGTGCTTCGAATGTCATGAACCTGATTGCCTCTACATAAGTTGAGAGCGTGAACTCCGAGCCGCATGAGCTGTAGTAATCTGCTATTATTTCAGCGTATTGCTCTGGTATTGCGAATTTGGTTGTAATGAAGCCCTTCATCATCCAAGTCAACGGACTGCATCCTTTCGTCGAGCAAGAACAACGACAGCCGTCCGTAAGAATACGGTAAGCCACAGTGGTTTTTAACGTTTCGAAGGCGGCCTGTCCTTGGGCTGTCCCTTGACAGCTTCGTACCCGAGCCCAGGGACTCTTGCCTAATAGGTAAAAGACGTAGTGCGCAGCGAACAGTCTATTGTCGGCGGTCTTGTTCGTAGGGCCTGCGGGGGATCGCAAGAATATATCTCCTCCGTGGTCCTGAAGCCAACAAACAATCTCCGGGCTAAGGAAACTTCGGAGCCCGAATGGATTTGAGTCGCGAAGCTGGAGAAATATTGATGGGCTGGGCCTGAATCCGTGACGATAGAACAACTGGGCCAGATGAACGGACCTAGTTTGCTGGAATATCCAGTTTGATAAAGAGTCTACGGTCCCGCCAGCCTCATCGTAGATTTGCAGCTGTCTTTGGAAATGTAAGATGCTTCTTTGCGTGTCACTTGTTGTGCTGTTGTTGCCGACTTCTTGCTTTGTGGACAAACTTTTGTTTGTCGGAAGGTGTCCTGGTCTCAGCAGACTTCGGGTTTTTCTCATGTGAAAGACATAGTGACGCCGAGCGAGCTCCGATGAATTCTCAAGGATTTGACCCAGACCTGGCGGATAGTTTTCCCATCCTTGTACAGCAAGCGTCCGAATGAGATTGAAACTGGCGTCTAGGAGATATTTTACGCATAGGTAGCAAGAACACTCTCTGCACCTTACATATTCTGTGCCATTGACGCAATACAGTGAGCTAAGCACCATGGCTGTTTCAAGTGCATTAGTACCTGTGCTGTCTCGCTGGTTCAGGGTGATCAGATCCGCAGCTTTTACGAGCCTTTTGAGAATTTCAGGCTTCGCTGCTGCGAGATGAAGTGGGCCTCGCCCGTATAAATCAAGTTCAGCTATGGAATCAGGAAACCGTCTCAAGATACGATCTACTTCATCTGAATCATTGTTGACAATCGCCATGCTCAAAGGGCCGCATTCAAAAGCTGGTTCTCATTTAGTCAGGTGAATGTAGTAAGCTTTTGAGAATTGCCGCACCTGTCGCAACCTCAGGGAGCTTGCCAAAAGACATGAGGCTACGATGTACCGCAATCGCGAAGTGCGTGAATTTACAGATCTTTGACGTCCGTTCCGACATGGCCGGCTGGTTTTCAAAGTTAGCCCGTGATAGGGCCAGAACGGCGTCCTCGGCCCACTCATCAGTTTGACACGTCAAGTTATGTAACGGCGAGAATCCTGCAGCAGATTAGCAATTTGGCCATCCTGTTTACGTGATCAAGTAAGGAAGCTTGCCCTCAATATCGTATGAAAAGGCTGGAACACCATACGAGAGCAGAATCGGGACGATTTCAGCAGCCGCTTTCATCTCGCTAAGTCTTTCGTGATATAAGACGGATAGGTCTCTGACCTGTCAGATGACCGTTTAGTCACAAGCTGTAAGTTCTGGGTAAAAAGATCTCACTAAAATAGCAGCATGGTGCATCAAGGTCCTGTTTGTGTCGTCCACAATAGTCGGGTAGGTTCGTCTTTCTTCGAGAAGTTTTGCCAGTTTTCTCAAGTAAGCGGTAAACAAGCGCTCCCTACTCCGCTTATTCCGTCCAAGATAGCTTCTTCTCATCAAGTTGATTAAGCGGAAAGCGGGATCCGAGTTGACGTCCGCAGTCGGATAGTAGGTAAACCTGGGACTGATGCTGCAGCCCCCAGCTCCAGATGTCAAAGCAAACGAAATTTCGATGACTGATTTCAGAAGGCGAGAAACGCCAGTGTATTTCAAGGTTGCCTTGATTCGTTGCTTCTTTGGCATTTTTGAGAGTGGGCAGCTCGACCAGTGGCCTTGGGATTCCCACTCGCCGGACAGGTACGTGTAGCCTCGCTGCATCTGCATCTGCATGAATGATCTTGCAGGACGTGGGCAGATGCACACTTTGCCAACTTCCAACCTGGTCTCTGAGTCCCTTGATGGATCTGATGAAGTTGTTTTCCGTTGGTTTTTTGGTCGCTGTGGAGCAATGTCTTTGTTGCAACGCTTCCCCGACAATTTCATGTCATCGCACAAACTCTTGAGAGCTGCTGGCTTGGAGGCCGCTTTGAGAGCTAATGCCCGTAGAGAACCGTTCTCTTCTCCCAGAAGCTGTACTTTGTGATCGATTGTCTTAAGGTGCTGTACAATTGAGGCATGCGAATGCTGAAGATCATATCTGAGACGCTGGCTGCTCTCGCGAGCCTCAATTTCGATAGCTCCGGAATGAGCCACGATGAATTGTCTTGTCTGGTCCGCAATGCTTTGTAGACCTGACAATTTGTCATTGATGTCGCCCACAGGCGTACCAAGTGCTGCTACTTCTGACCGGATTAAGAGCATTTCAGAAGCTTGGTCGCGAGAACTCGACTCGATAGCCGCCAGCAAGACTGCGTTCCTGTTCGAGGTTTCCCTACTGCCGTGTCAGAAATCGTGGGAAGCGAGAGGAATTCTATATTAACCTACAGTCCCAAGCTGCCCTGTACCAGTTGCAGAGCACCATAGGCCTTTTGCAACTGCAGCTCAAGGTCTCGAAGTTTGGGTCGATGGAACGCAAAAGTCACCTTCTTTTTTTTGTTCTCCAGCCGTTTCGTCCACGTACTGCCATCGCGATCAGAAAGGTCAATGCATAAAGCCTCGACGGCGCGAAGGTCCTCCTCGCAGCTTCGAATGTTCTGATCTACTGCATCAACGACTGCAGGACTTTGGCCCTGCAGACCAGCTAACACCGTTTTCATCGCAAGGAGTGTGACCCCCAGGTTGTCATTATTTTTCTTGACGTTTCGTAGTTCCTCGTCACGGCCCTCAAAGGCGTCCATGTACTTGACGATGCCGCCGGTGATCTGCAAGCCCAAAGATAGCAGGCCGGCAACCGAGGCTGCCAGGCCCACGCTCTCGGCCGCCATGGTTTATCAGAGTTGCGAGCGATGGTGGAAGATGTTCTCGGTAGCTCTCGGGGAGATCGGTGAGATGTCGACGAAAAGCCTTGATCAACAGTGCTGGTTCTTTGCAAAGAAAACTGCGGTGAAGAGATCAGGCTACCTGCTGACGCTGGCGGGTGTTTTGTGGAGGTATCAAGATCAGGCTGGCATGCGCTTTCCTCAGGAGGGTTTGGGATGATTAGGCTCGCCTTTGGAGCGAAAAACGATCTCATTCGCTGTATCAGAGGCTTCTTGATTGGACGCCGTACACGTGCAGTTCGGCATCTTCTGGAAGTAATGTGCGTTGGATCATCCTCGGCTTCTTTGCGAACTATTGGACATGTCTTTTAGTGGTTTCAAGCCGCCGTGCGACGGGCAATTCAGACATGAGAATGACACGGCTTGCATCACGAGGGTCACTAGGTAATCCTGAACGTCAGTTCTGAATAATATTATTGGAAAACGTAGAAGACGTACCTGAAATGGTTCAGGAGAACCACACGGATATGCACTAATACCACCATCTACTTTTGCTGTGCCAAGCGAGTCCAATGAGACGATTGCCATACACGAAAAACACGAAATTACTCATCCTACTGAATAAAACCAGGCTATGATTAGAGGAGGATTTCGAGTGGTTCATAAAGTGTATCATAGAAGGATGATGGCCTGGATTGATCATTTCGGTCTACGCTCTCCGTGCAATTCGAGTCCACGAGGCCTCAACTCTCGCGCTACATGTAGCGAGCGGCTTTTGAGCTTCATAATCCCAGTAGATGACTCAGCTTCTCTCCCATGTCGCCAAGGCTCTGGCATTGAGTAACATGAAAGGACAGATTCGAGACTTGAGATCAAAGGAGGAGCCACGAGGTCGGATGAAGGGAGTAATGAGGCTCCTCAGGTTCGTGGCGATCTTGAATGATCTTGGTTGCAAGCGAAGTAGAAAGCCAATTTGAACAACAGCATGCAAGCACGGACCTTTATGCAGCTACGAACCATCATCCCAGGGGCCGTTCGTCCGCAGCAGAGGTGCATTGGACAGTTCCTTTAGTCCGGGGAAAAGACGGAAAGTCATAGGTAACATCCCTTGCAGAGGTCAATGGAAGAGTGCTTTGACAGCTCTAGCAGTTGATGGCGATGCTTGCTTCTTCACAATTTTAGGAAGTGCTACCATTAATACGATGTCGCCTAGAGTGACAGAGTGATGAGAGGAGGCCGAAAAGGGGAATTCTAACCGCCCAAGCCTGACGAACACTGCATCAGACACGTGCCAGGCAGGATCGTTTCCAGCAGTGTCAAAGGCTCAAAAGAGGCAGAAAGAATGGAAGTGTGAACGAAAAGAAACAACAGGCCCCAAGACAGGAGAAACTCCTTTGAAGCGAGCGAATAGAAGTAACTAGCGCGCGTCAGCCAGCAAAAGGGGAAGACCAAAGGTTAAAGAGAGACACACCGCCCGAGACAGCTGACCCTGGAATGACGAAGCAGGAGCTTAAGTCGAGCGGAAGAAGAAGTGAGCTGAGAACGGTCAACCGCGGCGACATCCGAAGCCGGAAGGACCAGGGACGGGTTCATTCGTTGCGTAAGTTGCGCGCATGCGCTCCAGTCAAAAAACAGCGGGCCGAGGAAGGGGCATCGACGCATCGTGGGCGTCAAGGGCGTGGAAGGCGCGTCGGGATTCCTCCCCCGTGGCGGGTAGCGGCAATACAGTAAATCCGCTCCCCCGCGATTGCACGATGCAGGTGGGTCCTCTCATGACTCGGTCCACTTACGATGCTCCTCTTCTCCTTCTCCAGGTCCGGAGTCGCACCGCACCGGGGGGCCACACCCCCCTCTCTGCTCAGTGCAGTTGCTGGGGCTGGGTCAGTATGAGAACAGTTCTGGGATTTGACTGGATTGAATTCAGGGCTGGTCGCCAAGCACCCCAGCACATGAATGCCCCCAGATGGCAGAAACGGCGGGCAAGGCGCACCTGGTACAGTCACAAGTCAGCCCATTCCTTGGTTGGACCACCCCGTCTGCAGCAGCCAACAGCCAGCAGCAGCAGCTCTTTCGGCACTTCGCTGTCTCGGAATCTTTGGGCACCTTAAGTTATTACGGATTGTTCTTACCTCACTGGGATCCTTTTTTTTTCTGCCGGCCAACAGCGAAAGCTACGTCTTTTCTCCTTCTCTTCCTTCCCCTCTCAACCTCATCTCTCTCTTCTTCCCTTTCTTCCTCCATTCACATCTTTTTTCTCCCATCCCCGAAAGAGAAAGACAATCAAGATGCTGTCCTCCACCAGAATCGCAACCCGGCAAGCTGCCGCCCGCCGCATGGGCGCTCTGCCCGTCACGGCCGCGAGAGCCGGCTCTACCTGGGCCAACGTCCCTCAAGGTCCTCCTGTATGTCTCAAACACTCCAGATGCCAATTGAATGCGCCACGAATGCTAACGAAGACTGCAGGATGTAAGTGCTTGATGCGCCGATTGGCAGAATCCCGACAATCACCGCAACGAACTGTTTTGCTAACTGGCCACTTTTTCGCAATGGACAGGCCATTCTCGGTATGACGCACCTGCTCGGGTGGAGCTCCCTCGAGCTTCGCCGGTTGACTCAACTCCATGACTGACAATAGACGAACAGGCATCACGGAAGCCTTCAAGGCCGATAAGTTTGAGCAGAAGATCAACCTCGGTACGCAAAGCCCCCCGCCAAGCCACTTTGACAACCACAACCACCACCCTAGCTAGAGAGCTGTCACAAGCTTGCTAGCTACAACGCTAGCCGGCCGTCAGCTGTCAACTACAAGCACACAACGTTTATCATCACCGCAATGAACATGCCCATTGACGCAGACAAACAACAGGTGTCGGTGCCTACCGCGACGACCAGGGCAAGCCCTACGTCCTCCCCTCCGTCCGCGCCGCCGAGGAGAAGGTCATCGCCGCCAAGCTGAACAAGGAGTACGCCGGCATCACCGGTGTCCCCGAGTTCACCAAGTCCGCCGCCGTCCTCGCCTACGGCGCCGACTCCTCGGCCCTCGACCGCCTCGCCATCACCCAGTCCATCTCCGGCACCGGTGCCCTGCGCATCGGAGGCGCCTTCCTCGCCCGCTTCTTCCCCGGCGCTAAGAACATCTACATCCCCACTCCCTCATGGGCCAACCACGGCGCCGTCTTCAACGACTCTGGCCTCACCGTCAACAAGTACCGCTACTACGACCCCAAGACCATCGGCCTCGACTTTGAGGGCATGGTCGCCGACATCAAGGCCGCCCCCAAGGGCTCCATCTTCCTCTTCCACGCCTGCGCCCACAACCCCACCGGTGTCGACCCTACCCCCGAGCAGTGGCGCGAGATCTCCGACGTCGTCAAGGCCCAGGGCCACTACTCCTTCTTTGACATGGCCTACCAGGGCTTCGCCTCGGGTAACACCGACACCGACGCCTTCGCCGTCCGCCACTTCGTCAAGGAGGGCCACAACATCTGCCTCGCCCAGTCCTTCGCCAAGAACATGGGTCTCTACGGCGAGCGTGTCGGTGCCTTCTCCATCGTCGCAAAGGACGCCGAGGAGCGCAAGCGCATCGACTCCCAGGTCAAGATTCTTGTCCGCCCTCTGTACTCCAACCCTCCCGTCCACGGCGCCCGCATCGCCTCCACCATCCTCAACGACGCCGCCCTGAACCAGCAGTGGCTCGGTGAGGTCAAGGGCATGGCTGACCGCATCATCACCATGCGCGCTCTCCTCAAGGAGAACCTCGAGAAGCTTGGCTCCGCCCACGACTGGTCCCACATCACCAGCCAGATCGGCATGTTCGCCTACACTGGCCTGACCAAGGACCAGATGGACGCCCTCGCCAACGACCACTCCGTCTACGCCACCAAGGACGGCCGTATCTCCGTCGCTGGTATCACCAGTGGCAACGTCGGCCGCCTCGCCGAGTCCATCTACAAGGTCAAGGGTTAAATCTTGCCATTGTGAATATTTTTGCGATTTGTCCCAACGCGAGTCTCAGTCTAGAGGTGCTCTGAGCCAGCTTGCATTTCTCCAAGAGATATCACGAGGTTCTGTTGAAAGGGTAGTTGGTTTTCTAAAAAGGGGGGTTTTGTACAACCAAAGAGGGAGAGGTCTTCTCTTTTGCGCAGCCAAGGTTAGAATGGCCGGTGGACATAGAACGTTTGGCACCCCTTGGTAGACCACACATGCATTCCAGCTGTGTACAATATAGCGACACGTCTTTCAATGTAAACAAGTCCAATCGCTTGCTTGCTTGCCATGAATTCAAACTTGGCACCCATCGGCACATGATACTTAATCACGCCCTATCCAACCTGGCCAAATCCCGACTCGCATCCTCCAACTCCCTCTCCATCTGCCTCTTCTTCCTCGCCATCTCCTTCATCGTCCTCGCCTTCCCCTCCTCCCCCTCAACCCCGACCCCGTACCCCTCCAACTCGGCCCGGAGCGTCATCAAAGTCCCCTCAAGCCTCATCCTCGCATCCCGCAAATGCGCAGAATAATTCGTCAGCGCAGCCACCATCTCGGGCGAATACACCTCCCTCCTAACCCCCTCCCTCGCAGCCACGGCATCCGCCTCGGCCCTCTGCGCCTCCAGCCCCGTCTCGGCGGCGCGAAACTCGAGACTACGCGCCACGACGCCGTGTTTGGCCTCGAGGCTTCTAACCAGGAGCGTCAGCGCCGCGGCGTGCTCGTCTAGGCATTGTGTCAGGGTATCTGCCGCGCGGAGGCGTTCTCGGGCGAGTGCGAGTTTCGATTGGGACACGTCGGAGGCGAGTTTGTGGTAGGTTGTTTGCAGGCCTGGGACGGCGCGGTGGAGGAAGGAGGGGTTTGTTGTCGGGTTGGCGATGCGGGCTAGGGAGACGGCCGAGGTGTGGAGGGTTGAGGAGATGAGGTCGCCGAGTTGGGGGAGGAGGGATTGGAAGTCTGTGAAGGGCGGGTTGGAGAGGAGGATTGTGGCGGATTCGGGGGATAGGGGCTCGGGGGAG